TTCAATGTGATTTGGTGGAACCAAATCTTTCTGCCACACACATAACACAAGCACTTTTATGTGAAGGATTATAAATATATTTTTATCAAATATGTGACAGATCAGTTAAGATAATTTTAAAGTGGCTCTGTCACGTTGCAGGTTTTGTTTTCAAATTAATTCTTCTTTATTTTTACCCTATTTTTCTCCTTGGTTTTAGTTATTTATTCTAAATTCACCATTTTCACCATAGTTTTTTTAGTTGTACATAATAAATAGTAGGAACTACTTTTTCTTATGAGGCGATTGAACTTTGTCAATCTTTGGCCCTAGGCGGAGCTTAAGAAAGTTCCATTTCAGCTGCTAAACTGATTTACCCACAATCCATCCGTTAAAAGAATCCCACAGAGGGGCAACCTGCAGACATTATGGACAGAGGAAAACAACAGACATGGACAGACATGCATCCTTTGTCACTCCTATTGCCATGGACTATAAATCTCTACATTCTCAGTGAATTGGCAAAAACACGTGGATGATGATTGAATTTCACAATACTAGTGCTAGCCAAATAAAGGTTGTCTGACCAAACATGCAGAACGTCTGCTGTTTTATGAACATTGCACTTTTAAAACATAATTCAAACAATTCTCCACATATAAATGAGCATTATTCACTATAACTAAAAATGAAGCAGAATAATAAATTACCCCTTTCCATCTTGCTTGTTTTATATACCCTATAAATTGCGAGACTGATGACAATGGTGCATTATATAAAAGATTGCAGTACAATGTATAAGTCAGTAAGATCTGTCTGTAGAATGTATGGAGCCCTCAAAGCAAGCAACTGATGGATGAGTTTTAAAAATAGGTCAATTTAAATATCATCCGTCACAGTTCTGGTGTCTGCCAAGGGGGTCATTTTTTAACATACAGACTTCTGCATTTTTATTATTCATTTTCAGCCTTGTTGGTAGACAGTAATGAGGAAAATTGTTTCTGTATTTACCGTAATACCATAATACTCAAGATAAGCCAGAAAAGATTGGGCCAGATACATACAAAGAGTTCTGAAATCAAGGAAACTTTCCCAAATGGATCAATAAGACTGTTTTCATAGCGCATATGCACTTCTTATGGGTACCCAAACGTACTATATATTGTTTTTTAGTGGATATATATATAGCATTTTTTTGATGCTGCATAAGTATACTCAACACACTACTGATTATTAAAAGGAAATATATATACGTAAATACATTCATATAAAAATTAGGAAAAAAACATTGTTTCACAGTGCTACTCATAATAACTTAACAATAACTGTACAACAAATGCAGAAAATAAAATAAATAGATTCAATTAGTCCCAATTGTTAAAATGCCCAATATGATTTTAATTCATTCCTGGAAGATACAGGTAATTATATCAATGAGTGAATTACGATTTTAAAACATAATCTTTGCCATATTTTGCATGCTAAGAAAGAAGTCAGAGAATCCAAAACTACTATACAAAAGTATATATTTGTTGAAAGCAGACCTATCGGGGGAATTTAACTAAGAACATTTAACAGTTTTCCATTAATCATTACATTAAAAAACTGATGGTTATATTTAATGAATTAATTTTTGGGGGGGTTTCACCTACATGCTTTATTTATGGAGTTAATTTGTGTGCTCCACTACTTGAAAGACCACAGATTTGTATTCTGCTACTTCTGCCTAGTACAGCAATATCCCCATCAAGACCTTTGCCAGATTTATGACAAGTTTTTTTTTTTTTTTTTATTCTTTATTTTTGTACTGTATGGAAAGCATTGGTGTGACAGTTTGGGCTTTCGCAGAAGTCGTTTTGTACCATTTTATTCATAGGATTTACAGAAAGGAAAAATAGTGGTAAGAGCATGTATCCATTTGTACGGTGTGTTGTATCTCGAGTCTATGTGGCTTGCACAAAAGCCAGTTCATCAAATATGTAGCATGCGTTTACAGAAAAGAAGAAGACATTTGGTTAGTGCAAGGAGCTTTCTGTATCAAGGCATTTGACTTGCATTCCTGCAGCATTTTACCTTTTTGTCCCATAGAACGTATGGGTCGCCAAAAGGATAACAACAGAAAAGTACAAGTTAGAACAGAGTAACTTGTACACTTGTATTGATCCTAGTCCTGTGATGTGTTACTGAGAGTCATCTTAGTCATGGGTGGACGTGTTCCCTCCCCCCGGCCTCCCTTCCGTGCGGGTTACTGGTCTCTCCCCTCCCTTCCTGTGTGGTGTCCTATCTGCCCTCATTCTCTCTTCCCCTTCCCTTCTCAGACTACAAACTGGTCCCAGAGTTCCCACACCTTTTGGAAAGTTTTAACTGAGTGTCTCACCTGTGCCATCAGTTTGTCCATGAGAAAGTTATCCTTTATTTTAGTTATAACCATGGACAGTGGGGGCAATTCTGGGCTCAGGCAATTCTGGGCTAGGGCTCGTCTGGCCGCCAGGTAAACCGTGTTCAGTAGTTTCTGTTCGTGTCTGGGCAAATCCTTGGTGGGTCTAGAAAGGAGGCAGGCCCAGGGGTCCAGCAAAAGGGACCTCTGAATGATCTGGCTTCACCACCTTCACCCAGCATTCTTTCACCTTGGGGCATTGCCACCACATGTGGATATAACTCCCTCTCTCCCCACATGTCTTCCAGCATGTATCGTGGGGCTGATCTTTATATGATATTGTTTGACCGGGGTGGTGTACCACCTGAGGAGGGTCTTATAGGCTTGTTCCTGGAGGGTGACACAGATGGAGGATCGTGCATTCACCTCCCAAATGTCCTCCCACTCCACCCCCTCCAGCTGCTCCCCCAGGTCGGCCTCCAACTGGTCAGTGTATCGTAGCACCCTCCAGATTCAGTTCATTGAAGTGGTCTCGGTGCAGTGTCTCAGGCCCCTAAACCTTGTTTTTGAGACTCTGCACTAATGTGGCTATATAACAGTGATATTAGGCCCTGCTGTGCCCTTTCTTGGAAACACATCTTTTCAAAGAATGTCAGAGGGGTAGTGGCCACTGTCTGTACCTCTCGGCAGGCGGCAAAGTCGCGTACCTGGAGATATCAGAAGTAGTCCTTCGTCTGAAGAGTGGCTAGTTCCTTTAATCGGTCATACGTGACAATCTTGTTGTCCACGTGTTTTCTTTCCCCTTTAAAGTCACGTGTGTTTAGTCCTGGAGGAAAAGGCACTATAGGTAACTTCAGTGATTGGAAAACAACAAGATTCCCTTTAATCTTCTTTGATCATCATTACTGCTAATTCCTCATAAATCAAACTTGCTTGGAGTAGAGATTTCTCAATATATAATATAGTTACATAAACGCCAAATAAGTATCTTCAGTTTGGACAGTAGCTTATACACAGAGTTTATACTGGTAACATATCACAATGCAGACAGGTAGAGGAGTGTCTGTGACAAAGGTTATTTTCCATTCTCTTACTGAGACCAGATACAGGTGCAGGATTTCATGTCACATCTTATTCAATTTTCTGAAGGAAAACCTGTTTATGTGTGAAGTGACACAGGTGCCAGTAAATCAATACATATATTGTTAAGAACAAACGTCAGAGTGGACTTACCCCCAGGCTTCTGGCGGTAATATTGGATTGTAGTGTCCACATTAAACGTTATCTTCCAGTGTCTGAAGGAGGATTGTTAATGTTGTAAAATATACAGGTGCGAGTAAATCAATACCACATATATTGTTAAGAACAAGTGCCTACGTGTATTCTCAGTCATGGTTTTGTAGCTAATTTTGGGCATTTGTGCTGAGACTGACGAGTAGTAGTGTCCAAAACAAACATCTACTGCCATTTTCTGAAGTATTGTTTACGTGCGAACATCACAAGTGCCTGTAAAAAATGGCACATGTCCTGTTATGAACTAGGGCTAAAGTGGGCATAAAGTTGGGGTTCTGGACATGTATTGGATACAGACAGACTTCATTCAATCTGAATAGCCATGTACAGCACTCTTTTGTAGAATACCAAGACAGTGCCTGTGAGACTAACCTTGATGTTCGCCAATAACGCCTGAAGGTGATCCATTACAGAATTTCCATAATGAGTAACAGGAATAGGGGCAGCAGTAAATCCCGATACTTATACAAGTCAGAAATATATACTACTATAAATACACTTAAAGAAACACTGCAATCATCATAACACTGTTCTCCTGACATTAACTTGTTTCTCAGTTACACTTTTTATCTTTTTGTCCCATACCTGTATGTGTTAAGCCCAGCCAACCCTAAGGACCACTAGTGTGCTCTTTTCTTTTACCGTTTTGAGTCTGACCTGTACGATAGGGTTTTACTTATCCTGACAGATTGGAATTTTATGGATTATATTGACATCGCTCTGAGAATTAACGGTCAGGGGAGTTTCTCATATTAATGGCTTTCTAACTATGAGAGTTTGCCATGTTTAGTTGATGAGTTGTGCCAATATAAGAAGAGATGGAATATAATGAGTAGCTAAGTTGTTTGTTAAGGTAACCTAAGTTCTAAATATTTCTTTACACAATATTTTTTTACACAGTTATGTTTTTTTTTTTTATATATATATTTTATTTTTGTTGGTTTTTTTGTATGCATGTCTCCATATTTCAGGAGCACAGTATGACATTGTATTATAACATTGTAATAACACAAAACGTAGTGTAAAAAGGAAAGAGAAAGAAGAAGAAAGGTATCGCAACATCGCACCACTGAATACAGGTATGACATTCTCAGTAACAATTGTATTTGGCCTAGAGCGCACATTGTTTTCATATCTGTCATGGTAGACATTCAACCTTGTCCGTAAATTCCTGTGTGTGTGTAGTTTATTTTGTGTCAAAGAGTTAAAGTGTGTTCGTTCTGGGTATCATTGTGTTTTTAGCCTGGTATAGCTAGGTAGTTGGATTGTTGTGGAAGAGGATGAGAAGACATCCCGTTTCCCTGTCCCTGTCCTGGATAACTTCACCCCTTCTAGGCGGATGTGATGGTTTTTAGTCTTCAGCCTGTCTACCTCTCAATAATTCTTTCCAGGGTTGCCATATGTCTTTGTATCTGTGATATTTGTCTAAAGATCCCCATCTGAGTTCTTCCATCCCATGGAAATGTTCTATTCTTTGAAACCAATCTTTTTTAGAGGGCGGAATCGCCGATTTCCAGTGATTCACTATTGAGCTTTTTGCCGCTGTCAGCATAAAGTAGACGAGGGAATGTTTGAATTGACGGTGTGGTATTTTAAAGTGGAATAAGAGGAGTGCCTCGGGGTTGAAGGGTATGGACGTGTCTACTACTAGATTGACAGTATTCCAGACTTCTTTCCAGAAGCCCGATAGCTCACCGCATGACCACCATATGTGTTGGAAGGTGCCCTTATCTGAGTTGCATCTCCAACACACCGGTGATGAGTTGGGGTCAAATCTGTGTATATCCACCGGGGTGGTATACCACTTGGTGATGAATTTATAGTTAATCTCCTGTAGTGGTATGCTAGAGTGTGCGTGAAAGATCGTTTGGAAGATATTCTTCCAATCTCCTACTTCCAAGTCTTTGTCTAAGTGTTCTCTCCATATTCTGGTAAAGTATGGTAATTGTGTATATGTCTGGGTTTGTAACAGTTTATAGCAAAGGGATGTCGGCTTGGCAGGCATTTTTTCTCCTGAGCATAATAGTTCAAATTTGGTCTTGTCTCTTGGGGTCCAATTTGATAAGCCCTGTGCAGTCAAGAAATGTCGCATTTGTGCATACTGAAATCTCTGCATGAGTGATGGGTCTTTCCCTTCTGTCAGTAGTGTGATTGAGGTCACTCCCCCCTCTTTCACTACCTCGTCCAGTGTAATATGTGCCTCCTTTTGTTCACCCCCCCGTGGTGTCAGTTGGAAACCCCTTTTCCCCACTATGAAAAGGGGGTTGTTTGTTATAGGGTATTTTGGAGACGTGTTGGGGCTATGTCTGGGAAGCTATGTACTTTTTTCCATATTTGTAAAGTTGGAGTTACCGTCGGGTGTGGTGGAGTCGTCCAGTCATTAACTGAGATCAGAAGCCATGGTATCGACTTCAATGAGTCACCTATCTGCGCTTGCTCTATTGTGACCCATCCTTTGGAGGCATTTTGGTAGGTCCAGTTTATAATGCGGCCTACGTGTATTGCCTGGTAGTACAGCCAGATGTCCGGCAGACCCACCCCCCCCCATCTCCTTAGGTCTCGTGAGTATATTGTATCTTATTCTTGGGTGTCTTTTGGCCCATATAAATTGTGTAAATAATGCCTGAATCTTCTTAAAAAAGGTTCTTGGGATGGCGATTGGGAGAGTGTTCAACAAGTATAGTAGTCTGGGGAGTATATTCATTTTGTGAATATTTATCCTCCCAAACCATCGGAAGTGTGGTTTATTCCATGTTTCCAGATCCGCACTAATAGCTCCTAAGATTTGTGGGAAGTTAGCTCCATACAATAGCTTATTGTGTGGAGTTATATTGACTCCTAAATATTTGATGGACTTTGTTGCCAATTGAAATGCATATCGTGTTTGTAGTCGTGTTTTGTCCTTATCTGGTAATGTGAGGTTCAGTATTTCACATTTGTCTACATTTATTTTGAAATTGGATAGGGCACTGTATTCGTCTAAGAGGTCCAACAGTGTGGGGAGGGACTCGAGGGGGTTAGTGAGTGTAAATAATAAATCGTCTGCAAATGCCGATACTTTGTACTGGTGTTTACCCACCTTTATTCACTCTACACCCGGCCTGTTCCGTACCGCATTTAGCAGAGGTTCCAATCCCAGAATAAAAAGCAACTGAGACAGGGGACATCCCTGTCTCGTGCCGTTTGTTATTTGGAACGGATCGGACAGTATCCCATTGATTTTAAGCCTTGCGAGGGGTGAGAGTAGATTGCTTGGACCCACTGCATCCACCTTTTCCCAAAGCCTAGCGTTTCCAACGTCGACAGGAGGAAACTCCAGTCCACCCTGTCGAACGCTTTTTCCGCCTCAATAGCTAACATGATGGAAGGGGCTTTATTACTAAGAGCTTCATGAATCAGGGCAAGGATCTTTGTGGTATTGTCTTTGGCTTCCCTGGAGGGGACAAATCCCGCCTGATCGGGGTGGATTAAGGTTGGGAGCATAGGTTTCAATCGTAATGCCAGCATCTTTGTAAAGATTTTTATATCCACATTAATTAACGAGATTGGTCTGTAACTGCCGCATATATCTGGGTTCTTCCCGGCCTTGTGGATAAGAGTGATATTGGCTTCCAGACTCGGTTTGGGGATGGGTTTGTCAGGGCCTATGGAGTTAATCGCATCTAGTAGGTGTTGGCCTAGCTCCTTCAGATACGTTTTATAGTACATAGCCGAGTAGCCATCTGGACCTGGGCTTTTACCCTAAGGGGTAGTTTTGATCGCGCTCATAAGCTCGTTGAGAGTGAAGGGCTCATCTAGGGATCTGGCCAGTTGTTGGGGTAGTATTTTGTTGAATTTATCACTTAGGTATGCCTTGATCCTGTCCTTGTCCTGTGAGGTATTCGTTAGATTGTAAAGTGAGTGGTAGAACTCCCTAAATGTTTTTGCTATCTCGCTGTTTAATTGTACGATGTTGTTATTTGCTGTTTTAATCTGGGGGATGTACGTCCTCTCCTGCCTATGCTTTAGTGCGTTGGCTAGGAGTTTGCCACACCTATTCCCTTGGGCATAGAATAGCTGTTTAGTCCATACCAGTGATTTTTTAGCCTTTGATTGTAGCAAGAGTGTTAGTTCAGACCTAAGGGACAGAAGTTCTCGATGATCGGATTCAGACATGGTTTTCTTATGCGCCTCTTCTAAGTTTTTTATGTCCGTCAATAACTCTGTCTGTTTCTTAATTCACATTTTTTTAAGAAAGGAGCCCCATTTTATTAATTCCCCCCTTACTACACATTTATGTGCTTCCCACTGGAGGAAGGGAGTTGCGTCTTGTGTGTTATTGTCTAGAAAATATTGGGAGATGGTTTTGGCAATAGCCTGTTTTGCTGTTTCGTCATGCAAAATGGTGGTGTTTAGTTTCCACTGGCCTTTACCCTGAGCTAGGGAGGGAATTTTTAGTTGTATATGAACCGGGGCATGATCGGACTAAGTGATATTGCCGATTGTTGCCGAGGTTACTAGGGAGAGGTCTCTGTGTGTGGTGATGAAAAAGTCTATTCTTGTGTAGGTCGAGGCCAGTTTGGAGTAAAATGTGTAATCTTTCGTGGTGGGATGGAGTTCTCTCCAGCAGTCTACCAATTGATGGCTGTGTAGTAGTCGTTTGATTTGTGTTCTGGTCGGTTGTAGATGGTTAGGGTGTCGTGCTGTGCTGTCTTTTTGGGCATCTAGAGATACATTAAAGTCACCCCCTATGATTAAGGTCCCTGTGGCGAGTTGTTGAACCTTGTTTAATATTCTACGGAAGGTGTGACATTGTCGTGTGTTTGGAAGATATAGATTGACTAGGGTCTCAGGGTAGTTGCTAATCAGTCCCTGTAGTATAACGTAGCGGCCTGATTCATCCGCGAAGTGTTGGCGGTATACGAATGGTATCTTGGCCCCTATCAGAATTGCAACCCCGCGAGATTTGCTATGTGTGAAATTGTTGTAATATGCGTGGGGGTACTGCCTGTTGGTTAGTTTAGGTGCCGTGGGGCCCTTAAAGTGCGTTTCTTGCACGAATACTACATCAGCTTGTAGTCTGTGAAAGTCCATAAGTGCCATATTCCTCTTTTTGGGAGAGTTAAGTCCCCGGACATTGTATGAGAGTATTTTTATAGCATCTATGGTAGGTGCGTGTTTCTTGGCCGAAGCTATTGCGGTATCTCTTGTGTCCATGGTAGTGTCGAGTTGCAGTGGGGCGGAGATGCCTGGCGGTGTGTGCGATTAAAGGTATAGAAGCAACAAAAAATCTAAACTGAAATTTAGTATAACTTTTTAACAGTGAACTTATAAAAATGTGACTTCTAGGTCCAGAGGTCACGTATTACAGTTAGTATCTTTACTAACTATGCAGGAGTCGGTGCTTAATGTCAGTCGCCATCGGCCTTAGTAGCCGAATCGGGAATAGGTATCTGATAGTGCAAAAGATGTTAGTGCACCGCTCGTAACCTGATTCGGTTACCTGGGGTGCTGTGTATGTTGTTTCGCGTAATCAAAGAATGGAATGTGGCTTCCAGTCGTGTTTTTTCCGTTGGTATGTCAATCTGTATTACGAGTCTCTGCGACCGTTCATAATGACACTTATGTTTTAGCGCCGCCAAGCGCCGTAAGTGATGCGTTTGGGTCTATTGTTGATTAGCCTTGTAAAACATGACGTCTCAGCATAGCTGCTCTGCCATGTACAGGTTGGGATTTTTAATTTTTTTTTAATTTTTTTTTTATATAACCTGAGTAAGCAGTTCACTTAATACGTACAGTAAGAAATCATTATGTCTCTTGCGCTATGGTATTGAGAAATATAAATGCTTTCTCCCCTTTACCCTTACCGGGCTTAACAATCTCCCTCAGTGAGTAGGCGTTGTCCTGGTGGGGTGTCCCTGAGTTTGACTGAACTTTGCCTCTAAATCATTGTGGTTAATAATAATAATAACTAATTTAAATTTTTATTTTTTTTAAATAACATAGAAGAAAGTTCGTCCCCCCTTACTCCTCTGTTCTCCCCCAATTGGTCCTGACTCCCCCCTTTTCTAGAAGAATCAGTCCCATAATGGTCTCCCTACATTAATGTGTGGTGGACTATGTGTGCCCATGTCCCACATTACAACATCTGGTGCAGGGTATAATACTTGCGCCTTCAGGGAGAAACGCCAACTGACGCCGTTCTGTTGGATGTTGTATTAAGTCTCTGTCCTGATCCAGGGGCATCCAACTAGGGGAATGAAAAAGTCACTGGGGTGGGTTAAGTCTCTCCTTTGGTGGGTGTCTAGGTGGATGGGTAAGAGTTCGTGGTTTCAGGGTGTAAAGTGTCCAATTCCAGCGTCTCGCCCCGCTGCCCTTGATCTGGTAGTTGGTGTGAAGGGAAGCCTTTTCCCAGGTGTCCATCTCCTCTCCGCTGTACCTCTCCATCGAGAACGCTGTGGTAGGGCTTGTATAGCTGCTTGGGACCAGGGGTCATACCAGTCCTGGATCTCCATTTGTGGCAGATCAAACGCCTTTAAGAAATCTGGCAGGTCTTGTATCGTAGCGATGCTGTGCTGTACTCCTTGGTGTGAGGCGATTAGGGAGAAAGGGTAGCCCCAGCGGTAACGGATGTCTTTGGCTTGTAAGGCTTGGATAATAGGCCTCAGGGCCCTCCTCCCTTGGAGCGTTTGCCATGCCAGGTCTGGTAGTATCTGGATTTGTGTAGCAAACATGGTTAAGGCCGGTGAGTTTCTCGCCTGCTTCAGTATGTCCTCTTTTAGGGTATAGTAGTGGATTCTACATACTATGTCCCTAGGGATCTCTTGTGGTAATCCCCTGGGTCTCGCCGCCCTGTGCGCCCTGTCCATTAATATCGGGGTGTCTGGGGCGCGTTTTAGTATGTTATTGAAGAGGGCCTGTAGAATGTCCTTGATATTTTCCACTTCCCCTTGTGCCTCTGGTACCCCTCTGATACGGAGGTTATTTCTCCTGCCTCGGTTGTCGAGGTCCTCTGTGTGACGTATA